CGGTGACGCCCACACCCTCCTTATCTCCAGCTGGTGCTGGCCCTGGAGGCCTTGTCTGGCTGGAACAGATACAAGTTCTGCACCAGTCTCGGTGGGAGCGTACCGCTTGTGGCCTTGGGCTTCAGCAAATCTGGCTGCCCGTGCAGCATCGGTAAAGCCGAGCAAACAGCTCACTAAGTCACACAGCGTTCTAACTCCAAGTGATTAGTTCTGTTTAAAACTTAAATACTTAAGCTGAACAACTAATATATGTTAACAACTACTGTCTTTCCAGTAGGTGTTGCCACCTGTAGAGAATCTCTAAACACGATGAATTACAGGGAAGGATTCCACACAAGAAGAATCATTTCAAGAGGGTTGTTGTTTATCAGTTAATAACTTTGGAATGCAGCAAAGCAATAGCGGTTTCCTGAAAGACTCATTAATGAAAACTCAGTTTGATGGTCAAGCTATCAGTACAGTTGTGTGTGTGTGCTTATATGTGTGTGTGTATATATATATATGCACATACACTATAGCAGTTAATACACAAGTTTGTAATAGAAAAGGTCAGTTACTGACTTTTAAGTAACTAGTTGGATAATCAGTGTAACTTCATAAAGTATTACTTATGTAAAGGCAGCAATACTAATATGCTATTGCATTAATTTAGTCGTTTACTGTCTTTCTGTGCTGACAGGGTTTAATATTCTCTACAAGAGGCATCAAACTGCAGGGGACAGAAAATTGTAACAGTCTCATATAAAAATCAAATACTTGAACTGTGAGTTCAGTGAGATTTTTTTTTTTTCAAAAAACCAAAAAGCTAATCCTAGAATTTGGTTTTGAATTTAACGTAAGAGCTGATCCTTGCAAGACTCCAACCCAAATATCTACATTAAAAAAACCATTGTGAGCTGGTAAGCTTGAGGAGAACAGCAGAGATGATTACATATGTCCAAGGGAAAGATAAGGACCCAATGGAACAGAGACACAGCATGTGAGATTGAACTGTGTTGCTCTCAATGTTTTCTGTGTGCTTAAGGGTGGAGGTGTGAGCAAAAGACTGCCAGGTTCTCTGTTGCCTGAGGATTACAGCAGGATGTAGGTTCTAGTCTTTAGACCTGAGAGGCCAGGGAAAATGTGTTGAAAGCAATTAGCGAGTCTGATTGCTAAACTGAGTTCTTCAGAACTTCACTGATGATCCTAATCAGGGGAAGACAAAGACAACTCACTTCTGACATTGTTTTAATTTTACAGATTGCAATTACATCTGTATTGGAAGGTGTGGAGCAGAAATATTTGAACTCCAAACATTGAGGATATAGCAAATACCTCTATTTGAATTAAGAAACTAAATGCAAGGTTTTTTGTGACTTTCTTGGGACAGGTTAAATGCCACAGGAAGAAAAAAGGGCATTTGATCCCATCACAGATCACACTGATCATGTAGCCTGAAGTTAGATATTTGGCAGTATACCTTCTCACTGTCAAAGCTGTTGAGAGAGTACAGAGAGGACAGGGGCTTGATTATTCCTCTTGCTTGTGTTAAATTCAACAGGAACAAGGCAGGGCTCTGTAGCAGTGTATTCCAGTAGTCCATAAGCATGAAATTAAGCTCTTGACTAAGCAGCCAGTTGTACTGGCTGGATGAAAAGATTTCCGTGGCAAAAGCTTCAGATGGGGTGAATAATTCCCAGGATGGTATGAGCCTAGGGTAGAATGATATTTGCCTTGACTTCAGGGCTAACCAGTTGAACAATATACGTTGACTTTTTCCCTGCTCAGGCTATTAAAAGGCACAGCTTCGTCCTAAAGTGTGTCAAGATGTTTAGAAATTCTGCTGCTGAGTATTCAGCCTACATAACAAACAAGATTACGTGCCATTAAAAACCATCAGCATGTAAATTGAGTGGCAGAATGTGGTGTCTGCTGCTATGCAAATGCCATTGGGAAGCTCCTTTTGTATTTGGCTGTAGTAGGTGATAGTGGCAAATGACCAAATCCATCTGTGAGGGAGCAAAGCCATCTCTGCTGTGCTGGACCAGCTATATTGCAACAAGATGTTTTGCTTAGCTGTCTTTGTAACTTATTCCTTACGATGTACCAAAGCCTATAAATTTAATAGTCTGATGTAGATATTTAGTCTTTTCTGGCATCTTCATTATGCATTCCCTGTGAGAGGAGGAGGGATGTGGTTTTCGCATTATGCAGGGAAAAAAGGTACATGAGGTACATGTGAAATCTCTCAGAGCAGACTTAGATGGAAGTTAGTTGCCTAAACGCCAGAAGGGACGGATGTAGGGCCCTGGGTTAAACCTGTGTGGATTTATGAACCAAAGACGTTCAGCTTTCTTCATCCAGTATTGTTACTGTTATTGATTCACACTTTGGATTGAAGTCTTCAAATTCAGTAGAAAAATAAAATGAGTTCTTGCTTGTTCAACCTCAGTTCCTATGTTACGTTCTTTAAAGAAGAAGTTGCATATGTTTTAGTAAAATAATTTTTAAAATAGATTTCATCCAAATTGGTACCAATTGTGGTTTAAATTAGCTATTTCTGTTCAGTTTATAAATGTGTGTGTACGTGTCTGTACACATACTGGTAGAAATCAAATGAACCCAAATTGGCATAAACCCAACTGAGTTTTCTTGGGGGTTTTTGTATTGGCTTAACAGACTGTCAGTCTGAGCCCTGGTAGGCCAGGCTGAACACGTATACTATTCAGTCCCCTCTGAGTTTATTCTGTGTGTGAATCTCTAATAGTGATTGTTGTACAGGATTGTGTTTTTTGATGCATCCCAATCAGCTTGAAAACAGATGAGGTGATCTGGCTGCTTGGGAACCATGTAGACAAACCAGCTGACGATGAGTTCACAATGTTATGAACTTTATAGCTTGGTAAAATCACATTTTTGTTAGTAATAATAAATATGTAGGCATCAACGGTGTGTTCAGTTAGACTAAGTTAGTAGTATCCTTTCTTTCTTTCAGACCCTATCGTTTATTACTTTTTTAAAAAGGGGAGTTATGTATATGTGAAATGGACTGTTTTATTTATGGACTTTTTATTCAGGTTCCCGGGATGGTTCAATGGGTCTCTGGGAAGTCACAGAGGACGTGTTGTCCAAAAGCGATGCCAGGCATAATCTCTCTCAAGTTCCTGTCTATGCCCACATAACACACAGGGCTCTGAAGGATATCCCCAAGGAGAACACCAATCCTGATAACTGCAAAGTCCGGGCATTGGCTTTCAACAACAAGAACAAGGTCGGTAAGATAAGCAAGATGGCTGAGAAGTTCCTAAACCTGTCCATATGTATTAGAAAAAGAAAAAAAAAGTGATGTAAATCAAAAGTACTGGAGAAGCAACCTGATTTATTTTTTTTTTGCCTGATCCTTTTGCATCCTTATTGTGTGAGATGGTGGTCTTCATCTGCTATGTCCGCTTCTGCCCGAAGCGAATAGAGAAGTCCAGTAGAAAAAAAAAATCTTTTCAGAAGGAACATTCCTGTAGGTTTGATTTCAGACTTACATCCTAAGTGAGGGAGACAAGGAATGTTTACAAGAAGCAGATAAATCATCAAAACACATCTTGCAGTTTGAATACCACTCTTGAGTGCTCTTCCTGCCTTCCTTCCCCTTTCGTGAAGACCAGCTAACATTCAGGTTGTTCCTGTTTTGATTACTGGATTGCTCAGCCAGTGAGGTGACTGACACACAGGGCAGGCACCCATGCTTGCTTCAGTGTTATTTTGTTGACATTTGACAAACGTCCTGCATGCTGATGTCTTCTTACTAGTGGGAGTAGCAGTTCATCCTCCACTGCTTCTCTTTCTGCCCTCAATAGAGAAAGTCTGAAGCAAAGCTGGGTGTGCTTTTAGAAGCACAGTGCTCCTGTGGGCTTTATTTATCACTGTAGCTGTTAATTACTCCCCTGTGATGGAGACTTCATATAGCTTTTTGAGTAGTGCCTGGAAATAAATGTTTGCTTCAGGGTCAGAATCAGTGTGAGAGCTGCTGAAGAGAATTGTCAACTCTAGCTTGTACTGTCAAGTACTTCATTATTTGGTTGTCTATCAAGATCGATGCATTTGGAAGTTATTTTTGGTTACTCAGCCTGGCACCTTTGTGCTGTATTGCGTTCTATCAAGATCAGTATAAAATGAAAATCTTGGTAAGCATGTACAGGATTATGGAGGAGTTCAATCCAGAGTATGCAGTCTGCCTGGTAGAGAGTTTGTAAGGATGCCTATAATACTGAAACTAACTTTTTTTTTTTTTTAATAGGAGCTGGGAGCTGTATCCCTAGATGGATATTTTCATCTTTGGAAAGCAGAGCACACACTATCAAAGGTGCTTTTCTGTTTGTTGGTGTAGAATTTCAGGAATTGCATAGCAGTTAAGGCTGGTCACTGTTCTTCATCTCCTTTAAATGCTTGAAGAAAGAGCAGCAGTGTTTGTAAAACGCTTAAAAGCTTTATGTACAACAAAATGTCCTAAAAACTAAAACTTGGGGAGAGAAACTGCTCACTCACCTTATTTTGGAGAAGAGGAGGTGATCTTACCTTTGTGCCAACTTTCTGGGTTGGCTGAAATGAACCATTGCATAGAGTGTGATGGAGACTTGATTAGCAGTGTTCTGTTGATGAGTGCATCCTTTACCTAAGTGCCATGGCAGATCAAACCCAGACGTACCTATGCTAGCATATGAGGTAAGCTTTTTCAGCTGAGAGCTGATGTCTGAAGAAATAACAGCAGCTTAGAAAGATTTAAAACAATTTGCTGAAATGTCCGTTGTTCTTCACATAATACTTGGCTTCAGCCTTTGTAAATCTCAGTTCAGGTAAGGTTCAGATAAGGCATCCCGTCTCCTCCAGGTTTTTTTTGTCTGGGTCACATTGTTGCTTTTCTCTTAAAGTTCTGGGGTTTTGGTGAACTTGTTTTTTAGCTGCATTTTTTTTCACTGCAGCTCCCTTGAACATAGGTTACAGAATTGTTCTGTTAACATCTTGCTCTTTTTCTCATAATGGGTTGATTTTTATTTCTTTTGTTTCCAGTTACTTTCCACAAAGTTGCCATACTGCAGGGAGAACGTGTGTTTGGCGTATGGTCAGGAGTGGTCGGTGTATGCAGTAGGATCACAGGCGCATGTCTCCTTTCTGGATCCAAGGCAGCCTTCTCACAACGTTAAATCCGTCTGTTCCAAAGAACGAGGCAGTGGTAAGAAACTTGTCAAAGGGTGCTTCAGATGGTTTGCTTGCAGAAGTGGCTATTAAGACTGTGGTAAGATAAGCTTTTAATACATAGGAAGGGATTTCCATGGGATGGACTAAATCATTGATAGGTTTTGCTTTTATGACAGTATTGAGCAACCTGCAAACCAAACATGAAAGCAACTCTGAAATGTAATGGTAGACACCATTAGTGCTTTTATAATCAACTGAATTGTACACCATCCAAATATTACCAAACTTTTAAAGGTGCATTTTACTACTTCTTATTTTTTACTGTGTCTTACTCTGTTTTACTTCATCTCGAAGTGAATCCGATCTTTGTACCACTATTAATACTGTCTGCTCTTGCATTTTCCTCTGGGTATGGGAAAAAAAGCCATGTTGTCTGCTCTGTGCTATCATATCGGGAGTCTGTGCTTGAGTGAATGCTTGCTTTGTAATTTTAAAGCCATGAGTGAGACTCTTAATTTTCAATGTGTGTTTATATGCTTTAAATATACAAAAGCTCACTCTTTAAAAAAAAAAGTTTGCAGTTTTGAGTGCTGTTTTCCTTTTCTGATGTGGATGCAGTTTGTCCAATTGAACCTTACACCAGGGCCAAGCCTGAGGTCTTGCAGGGTGCATGGTCCCATAAGCTTCTTCCCATACTCTTTATTTTCAAGCATGAGAAGGCACTGTGTTGTGATGCCCTTTTTAAACTACATTAATCCTGGACTAATAAATTGCAGTCCTTATTTAGTTTGGCTCTAGGCCTCCGTCTCTTCATCAGGCAAGTTAGCAAAAGACAATGCGTGTAGGCAAGGATTAGGAAAGTTTTATTTATGTGGTTGCTGGAGCTTGCTGCTGTCCAGATAAATGTGAGGGTCTGCTTTCAGATAAAGGAGCAGTTTCTGTAATACGAGAAAAGGTGCTTCAACAGCTGGTGTTGTCACCTGAACATCTCACCAGCACCAGCCCTGGTCCTTACCCACTGTCAGTGAGGGCTCTGCAAAGGTCCTGACTCTCTTGCCCTTAAGTATCCTAGGGAAGAAATACCAAGACCCTGGAGTGTGGTGGTTGGTGGCAGAAAGCTTCTGCCTTGGGTATGTGATCATCCCTGCTGGAGGGATGATATCTGTGTAGGTGGTATCTCTGGGGCATCTCCAGTTCATGTCTAGAGAAAGCCTTTGTTCAATGCTGGGTTTGGTTCTGCATAGTAGGCAGATTTTTTTTTTTTGGCATGGTGGTGGAGGTACTTAAGTAGCACTAATTCCCAAGATACTGAGTGTTTCAAGTTTCTGTTGATCTCACTGGGCCTTGGAGCAGTGTAGCAACTCTAGAAAGTAGGCTCTTTATTTGCGGACTAAAATCTGGGTTGACTTTTAAGTGAAGTGTTACCTGAATGTGCTTTCAGCTTCCAGATACACCTGCTGAATGTGGTAAGTCCACATCAACTTCATACAAGAAAGACATTGAGGTGCTGGAGGGAGTGCAGAGAAGGGCAACAAAACTCGTGAAAGGCCTAGAGAATAAGTCTTATGAGGAGCGGCTGAGGGAACTGGGGTTGTTTAGTCTTAAGAAAAGGGGGCTGAGGGAGACCTTATTGCTGTCTACAGCTGCCTGAGAGGACGCTGTAGAGAGGTAGGTGCTGGTCTCTTCTCACAGGTAATTAATGATAGGACAAGAGGGAATGGACTCAAGCTGCACCAGGGTAGGTTTAGGCTTGACATCAGGAAAAGTTTTTCCACTGAAAGGGTTGTCAGGCATTGGAATAGGCTGCCCAAGGAGGTGGTTGAGTCACCATCCCTTAACGTGTTTAAAGGTCGTTTAGATGTAGTGCTTGGAGATATGGTTTAGAGGTGTACTTGGTAGAGGAGGGTTGATGGTTGGACTTGATGATCTCAAAGGTCTTTTACAACCTGAATGATTCTGTGACTCTGCTCCTTGTGTAGGGTGTGCTACTGTGTCTTCATTTCCTTCTGGGATTTGTAGAGCCTCCCTGCCTCTCAGGAGTGAGGCTCAATTTGTCAACACAGGTAGTCCAGATCCACAGGTGGGAGAGTGCTGGCTATGTTGGAGAGCTTGCTGTGATCAGTTCTAGGCACAGGTTGTGCTTTTTGTTTGATGGGAATGATTAATCTAAGGTGCTTCAGCCCCTTAGGAGAAAATTTGAAGAGCTGTTCTTGGAAGCCTGTTCTAAACATCCTCTTAGTAGTGGGTACATCATGGATTCCTTCAGTTAATTTTTAGAAAAAGATTCACGGTTGTTCTGCATTTTATAGCTTTTTATTAATAAATTACATTGAAAAGCATATGCCATCTGCCTTGGTACTCCATCGCCTTTTTCTGTTAAGTGTTCTGCTGGGTTGCTTGTCAAGAGCACTTTGGGAGCAAAAGAGGCGGTCCCATCTTGTGCCTTCCTCCTCGTATCTCAAGTGACTGCTCTTGCTGTTTCCAGAGGGCTTGAAACTTTCTGCATGTATTTGCCAGAGCCAGGCCTGTGTCATGGGGCAGAGGGAGAGGTCAGAGGTCTCCAACTTGCTCAGATGCATTTGTAGTTCTCTGAACTAAAGTGGAGATTTAATCTGGTAAATTAATTCAGCAGGTGTGAGACTTTGCACAGTGGCTTCCCACTTATTAAACCTGCAGCCAAGACTTCACCCCACATCTGGAGCACAACAGGGTAGCCTTGCCTGTGCTCAGTGTGTGTCACACATGCTGGTGGCTGTGGAAGTAACGTCAGGTTGCGGAGGTGGAAGGGCGAGGATGTGTTTCTAGTTAGGACTCAGTTCAAAGGGGAAGGGGAAACTCCCTGGCTGCATCCACGCCTCTTGGATGTTTGCCATCACGTGTGCTGCTGGGTGTATTCCAGTATGTTAAAAGTTTTGCGATGTTCAGTCACACTTGGTTTGGTGACAGCAGCTGGCACGTGGATATAGCTGGCATTCGCTCTCTTCCCGTCCTGTTTGAATGCTTGTTTAGGCTGTAATTCAGTGGTGCTTCAAAGAGGGCTTAAAAAGCCCTAGAGCTTATAACCTGGCATCATGTAGTGCAGGAAGGAAAAACATAGACAGGGAGGGGTTTAATCTGTGTAGAAGAGTTGTTTGGGGTAGAGTGCTTAAACAGAACAAACCTTTTGCACGATAGATAGAGATGAGATGATAGTATGTTTTGCAAATTCCTGCGTACAGAATCTCCCCAAGACTATTTCCAAGGGATCCTTGCATAGCTGAGGCTTCAAATTTAGATTATGTGAAAACAAAATGTACTCTTTTACTCAGTCTAATGGCATAACTGAGATGTGCTAGAACTGTTTGGACTGTAAATTTGCTGTAGCTTCCCTTGTACTGGTGGAACATAGTGTTGCTTAGGTTGCAGGGTTCCTAGTCTGCTTTCATTGCTGGGTGAAGTGCTAAAAGTGGCAGAATAAGCTGTACTTGTGTGAGAATATTTGTGTGGAGATAGCTTCAAAATTATTTAAGAGCCTGATGTACTTAGCAGCAAAGTGACTAGTGATTGTTACGGTTATACTTGTTTACAGCTAGCCTGTTGATCAGCAAAATGCCCTTGGTGGCAGCTGGGACCATAATTTTTCTCATGTGGTCACTTACCACAGCTTGGCAGGTAGCTAGATAGGGTGTGAGCTCGTGGGGGAAACCAAGGTGACATTCTTTCCTCCGCCTGCTGCCATGCACTCGCTCACAGTGTGTTCACTTGGAGGCTTGTGGCAGACAGAACAAAGCTGCTCTTGATCCTAAATGGCTTATGATCTTTGCTTACCTGGCAGAGCTGGGGCCTGCTGAGAATGAAGCTTCTTGATATGCACCATCAATGTAGCTGCTGGCCTCAGAGGGGAAGTGGTATGTGTAATTTAAGCTGCTGTTCCGATAGCATCAATGGGATTTGTCTGCACTGCTCCACAGCAGCGAGGAAACTTGTGTTGTGGAGAACAGTAGTAGTAGATAGTCCCTCTTAAAGAAAATATTAGACATCAAGCAGCAGCACTGCAGAGCCAAAGCATCCATCTTCCTTCCTGCATTGTATGTCCCTTCTCTGTTTGACAGGTATTCGATCAGTGAGCTTCTACGAGCACATCATCACAGTGGGAACAGGGCAAGGTTCCTTGTTGTTTTACGATATCAGAGCCCAGAGGTTCCTGGATGAAAAGCCCCCACGTGCCTGCTATGGACAGAAGCAGAAACTAGGAGGAGGTGAAATTTTGAAGCTGACTACTGGTAAAGGCTGGCTGGTGAGTGGCTTGGGGCTATAGGAGACCCTTTACACAGGAGTGCTGTAGGGCTCCAGAACCAGTTCTTTTTATTGTAATGGGAGCTATTGTATGAAATGCATCCCCGAAAAACAGTGATCATGTAATTGATTAACTGTAACCGTGAAAAGCAAGAAGTGCTGCAGAATTGCTTTCTTCAAAATCTTTGTAGGAAGGATATTGATGATTGGTTGCTTGAGTGTAAGGCATACTGACTACTGTTCTTATGCACTGATTCATAAATGAACTAGATTTTATATCTTTAAATTTTTTAATGTAGTCGTTCTGGCTTTCAGAACCTCAAACACCAGATACATTTTCTTCCTTTAAAACCGTGCTACTCTAACATGGTAGTCAAAGTAAGAGACATTTAATTTAATTGTGTGCCATTTTAGAAACTGTGGCTTACTGAGGTGAGGCCGTGACAGGCACTTGAGTTCTATTTCCTGTATGTTATCATAAAGCAGTTAGTGGTTTTGTCTAACTTCTCTCCATTATTTTTTGTATCCCTGTGATGTAACTTTAAAAACAAATGAAACTTGGTATCTTCCCTACTCTTCACACACTCCCCTTCCAATGTTTGGCCCAAAAGAAGAAGCTTCGAGACAACTGTGGTATCTTCAGGTTGATCTGTCTGAAGCTTCAAGGGAGTGTTAACAGAAAAGATCCCTTTTTAGGCTCTGGAAGCTACCTTCTGCTTTTGTGAAACAAGGTTTTAGGTTTGTTTGGCAACAATAACAATCTAAACTTTCCTTTAACAGAATCATGACGAAACCTGGAGGAATTATTTTTCTGACATAAATTTCTTCCCAAATGCTGTTTACACCCACTGCTACGACTCGTCTGGAACGAAACTCTTTGTGGCAGGAGGCCCACTTCCATCAGGACTTCATGGGAATTACGCTGGTCTCTGGAGCTAATGATAACTCTTTATAAATGCTGATCTTCATACAGATTTCCACTTTTCCTTTTTTAACAACAAAATTGTGTGATGCCATTAATTTCTGATTTAAATGCAAGTTATTTTTTGGCAGAGTTTTCTGTTGGTCTCCAACACTTTCGTACATCTTTTTGAACCAGTTTTTTGCTTTAACCTCCCTGATCCTTTATATGAAGGGTTTTTAAAATCCCTTTTTACTGTATTTACATCAAATGACTCTTCTCCCACATTTAGGCTATCCTGGCCATGTGCCCCCTCCCCTACTTTGCTGTGAGGTAGGATTCCTTTCTTACAGAGTGGTTGCTCCTGGGCTTTCTGTGAAAGTCTAAGGGCTGCGTGTGTGCAGGTACTTTGTGTCAGTTACATTACCTGGAGTGAGGACTACTTGTAATTAAAAAATATTAAAAATATTTATAAGAGATAAGCTACTACTTTATCTGCAGAGCCTGGCCCTGGACTGGGTTGATCTTATTTTTTAAAAGTACAAGTCTAATGACAATGTTTATATGTAGAGGAATATGGTAATTTTAAGCTGTACTTACTGAAGTCCAGGGATGGATTCCCCAGGGATATTGCCCATCAAGCCCAAATTGCAGAAGTACAGAAGTTCTCAAAAGTGCATTTCTATTTGAATTGTAGTTTCAGCAGTGTCAGGAGCAAAAATTGATCCTCTGTTCCTTCTCTGCCTGTCCCAGGTATCAGCTTGCATAACTGGAGTTTACATAGGCTGTTCTGTGGTGTGGCTGTTGCAGGGTGACATTACATTCAGGGCCTGCAGAGATGTTGAAAGGAAATGGGGGCTAGGACAAATGGGGGAGTGTTCTTGTCATTCAAAATTAACTAAATCTACCTGTTTCCTGGATGAGCGAGTGTTCCTGAGTACGCTGCTGCGGTAGCTCAAGGGTTCTTTGTAAACTGCCTAAAAGCCAAGACCTTTTCTGTCCCAGGTTGTAGAAACTTTTCACATTCGAGCTGTTCTGGTTGGTAATCTCCTGTAAGTTGATGGAATAAATTGGTTTGTTTCTTCAAGGTTAAAGACTGCATCTTGGACTTAAGTAATGCAAGCTAGAACCTTTCTATGTTGCGAAATAACTTGATGTTAGCTCCAATTGCACTAGCACCTGCTGTCATCCTGTGTGCTATAGGAGAGGCTCAGTCTTTTCCCGTGTCCCCTACTGCCTTCTGCGTTTGGATACCCTTGCACATCATGTGGGAATGGCTGGGCAGAGTAGGTCCAATGCCCTTCAGGTCCAGCTGTGAAGCATGTGCATTACAGGGTGATAAGGTCTTGCCTAATGCTTGGCTGAAATGCAGCACACAGGGTGCCTCTCCTAGCCTTTTGTCAGGCACCAAACTCTCTGATGCCTCTGTCCTCTGCTGGGATGAATGCCTTTCCCCTGCCTCTGTCACGGGCGGAGCAGAGTGTGCCTGTACCTCACTGCTTTGGTGCTAAATGGGCAGTTGGTTGAAGCTAAGACAAGGCTGAGACGTGCTCTGTTCTCCTGTCGGCTGGAGATCGCAGCCACCACTGCAGAGTAGCTCTAGTCCCTTACGCAGTTCCTGCCAGGCTGCCTAAAGCTAGTCTGCATGTGTCCTTGCAGTTCTTCTTGTCTCTGTACTTGGTATCTTCATCAGTAACACCAAGCAGTGGGCTTCAGGCTTAATTTCCAGGTGGTAGTGGAGACTTGGCTGGAAGTCCTGCAAGGAATGCAGTTCCCTCCCATCCAGGTCGAAATCCTGGCAAGAGAAGAGCTCTCCTAGATGTGCATCTGTCCGAGAAGTATTATTTACTTGCACTGAGCACTGACACAGGTGCTTCACAAACAGATCTTCTTGCAGCATCTCGTAATTCCATTTCCGTTGTGGGTTGGCTGCTTAAACTGAATCAGTTCACGGCACTGTGTGTGCAGCTATTCAGACTTTTATTTGAAAAGGGGTGGATTATACACCATGGGGTAGTGAAGGAGCTCTCAGATTTTATTCAGTTGTGCAGGTTTTTTTTTTAAAGATGTCATAACGGTTTCTGTGCTGTTCTCTGACAGCATACTGCTTTTGTTATTTTGGGAGTTTTGAGAAGTGGGAGTATACAGAGAACCACAGAATAGTTTGAGTTGGAAGGGACCTTAAAGACCACCTAGTTCCAACCCCCCTGCCATGGGCAGGGACACCTTCCACCAGACCAGGTTGCTCCAGGCCCCATCCAACCTGGCCTTGAGCACTGCCAGGGAGGGGGCATCCAAAACTCCTCTGGGCAACCTCTTCCACTGTCTCACCACCCTCACAGCGAAGAATTTCTTCCTAATGTCTAATCTAAATCTACCCTTTTTCAGTTTGTTACCCATTGCCCTGTCACTACCCTCCCTGATCAAGAGTCCCTCCCCACCTTTCCTGTAGCCCCCTTTAAGTACTGGAAGGCTGCTGTAAGGTTTCCCTGGAGCCCTCTCTTCTCCAGGCTGAACAACCCCAACTCTCTCAGCCTGTCCTCACAGAGGAGGGCTCCAGCCCCTGATCGTTTTGGTGGCCTCCTGTGGACTTGCTCAAGCAGCTCCATGTCTGTCTTATGCTGGGGGCCCCAGAGCTGAACACAGCACTGCAGGTGGGGCCTCACCAGAGTGGAGGGGGAGAATCACCTCCCTCGACCTGCTGGCCACGTTTCTCTTGATGCAGACCAAGGTATCATTGGCTTTCTGGGCTGCGAGCACACATTGCCGCCTCATATTCAGTTTTTCACCCACCAGCACCCCCAAGTCCTTCTCCCCAGGGCTGCTCTCAATCCACTCATCACCCAGCCTGTATTTGTGCTTGGGATTGCCCTGACCCAGGTGCAGGACCTTGTACTTGGCCTTGTTGAACTTCATGAGGTTCACACAGGCCCGCCTTTCCAGCCTGTCAAGGTCCTTCTGGATGGCCTCCCTTCCCTCTAGTGTGTCGACTGCACCACGTGGCTTGGTGCCTTTGGCAAACTTGCTGAAGAGACAAAATCTTGGTGAGGTATGGCAGGATGTGTATTTCTAGGATTACTCCTCCAGCTACTGTGTAAGATCACTCTGTCACAGGGAACATGTTCTGCTTAGTGTTTTCATTTGGGCTTGGTTTGAGGTGCTGCTTTTTTATTTATTTTTTAAAGAAACTAGACACTTGAGTCTGCTTGAGTGTCCTCTAATTCTGCTGAAACAACAGTTACTAGTTAGGCACCTAGTGTCACCAGTGCCAAAGGAAAACTCTACCTCTGGAAATCCTAGCCCTGATGTTGATCTATTAATTGAGGCATATTCCAGGTCTGGGTGAGGGGGCAAAAAGTATAATTGTATGGACTGAGCTTCAGCCTCCAAACTTGGAGGCTGATCTTTCTGCAGAGTCTCTAGGTTACTGAAGAGGCACGCCTTCAAAACATCTGTCTCTGCTGCCTCTGATCTCCCCAAGTACCTCAATACGTGGTCCTAAAGCTTGGTAGTGAGAGTGCCCTTTTCGTTGTCTTTTCTGCATAAGAAGCTTTGGACAATTCTTGGAATAATCTGGACAAGGATGTAAAATTCAAGTCTTGCACGCTTCTGTGTGTTCTGCTTTCAGGTTTCTTTCTTGCAAAAATAACTTTTCACGGGGAGGGAGCCATCCTTGTTGCTGTAGGAAAATCCTACCAAAGTACTGGAAACAAGCTAGACAGTGCTGCAAGCGTGCAAACAAATTGGGCCAGAGAACTTAATTTCTAGCCTGTTTCAGTGGTTTTAAATGCTTGTAGCAATACAGATGTTAAGTTTCAGAATATTTTGTGGTTGGTCATATGTCACTTTTGGTCCAGTCAGTGTTAGAAATTGAGTCAGAGAAGGGAGATGATATGCCAACTGTCCAAAGATAAGTGACAAGAGAAACGGGAGACAAAGACAGGTTTTCTTACTTGATTTGATTTTGTTGCCCTGTTGGGTTAGATGCCAGAATTGAAATCCAGGATCAGGGTGAGAAATGCAGGGGTTTCCCATCGGGATGCAGAAATGCCTGTAGAGCAGGGAATCTCCAGGCTCCACGTGGATGTGAGCTGGGTGCACCCCGTTGTTCAACTGACAGACACACCCCTGCAATGGATGGAGTTCAGCCTGGTAGCTTCTTGAACGGCTGGCTCACTGTGCTCTGCTGAGACCCAGTGGCATTCACGTTTTTCGACTGTCTTATCTTTTCCAATGTTTTGTAATGATTTCCCCCACTTTCCTGCCCTCCAGAATGGTCTGTTTGGGGTTGCCTCCTCTGCCCCAAATCATCTCAGTCTTTACTGTAGCAATATTGTACTTGCAGAGGTGACCTCTGTTGAGCAGAAATGGGCTTGCTGGCATTTTGTCAAGCCATGCTTGAGACCTTCAATTTGCTTTATTTTGAACTGGCTAGACTTTTGAGGCTGGCTCGGACCGTAGGACTGAGCACTTGCCCTTGTACATGTTGACTGATGGGGTTACACAGTAACAGTCTGTTCTGGAGGCGGATGGGGGAACGGGTGCTGGTTTAACTTGTGTTAGGCGCTTGGAGAGAAAAGAACTTTAAACATAACAGACATTCAGACTTTTCTTCCTGCTATTGACTTTTCAGTCATGTGGGATCTTTTGTGCTGCTGGTGGGTGTAGGAAGCAGTTAATTTTACTGCTCAGCTCTTTTCAGTAGACTGCCATGTTAATTTGGGTATTACATTTTCAGTATTCATAATCACAGGTAATCAAACTATTGACTTAATTATGGGTTTGGTAGTACCCAGCTTGTAAGTACTGGGTAGAAATCTCTCAGTAACAATTGGGTGTTACGTGATGGACACCCCTAAGGAAGCAGAAGCTACTTGGCAGTGTTGTGTTGAGCATGGCAATGATGGTAGTGCTCACCTTCTTCACCAAACACCTTACTCTCCTGGTAATTCCTGCAGCTTTCTCCCTTGTACAGTCAAGTCAGACAGGGAGAATTGCTTGTGCTTTCCTTGGGTGCTTTTGGGGATTGCAGTAGAGAAATGAGTCCCTTTGTTTGGTTCCCTCATCAGTGCTGCTGCGTGTTAGCCCAAGGTAAGTAAATTACCAAAGAATAGTTAATAGGTGTTTGTTCCTAGTCTCCGTTGTTCGTTTTTCTCTCATAATCCATTTTTAAGATTCATTGCAAGAGTGCCCAGTGATTTTACTGGACTTAGTCTGTCCATGAAGGTTACATTCATGTTGTGGGTGATTCCTGTGACTCCCTTAATGAGGGGGACTCCTGAACTTCATTATGGGGATATATTTGCTGCCTCCATTTCAAGTTTTTGGCAGCTTTTTGTATCTTTAGGATTATAGTACTTATGTATCAGTTATTCTTCTCTAGAATTTCATCCTCTTCCTTCACCTGAGTGCTTGCTTTGTATATAGCTTGCAGCTGCAGATTTAAGATTAAAGTTATGATCTAGCTATGTCAAGTGGTGGTTTGTTGTCTTAATTTCTGCCCCTCAGCTGAGAGGCACTTGCTGATCTTGTGAACTAATGTCCGTCACCTGGTGAAGATGTGAAATAAAGCAGGCTTGCCTGGACCCTTCATGGAGGTCACTGGTTTTGTTTGATTGCACGAAACCAAGAACAGATGGGCTGTCAGTTGCTGCATCTTGGCAAAGCAGTGTCACCTTTCAGCAGCCAGGTGGGAGCTCCGACATCTGTTCGTGGTGGTCTGATACCCTTAATTCCCATCAGCCTGCTTTTCCAAGGTGCCTGGAACATTCTTAATTAGCTCCTGTTGCTGCTATGACTGAATTGCTGAACAGGGGTACAGCTCATTCCTAGGAATACTGGCAGAGCTGTGTGTGAT